TAAGAATATCTGATATTCACACAGTTTTCCTCTCTGCCACAAGAGTGAACTATGCAGCTATCAAGGATTACACCCATGGAATATTGCTCAGTGTAGTTTAAAAACAAGATGTATTCAAAATTCACAGGATACATCAGAAGACAGAAATACATGGGAACTTGTTCTCCATGCAGCTATGAACAAAAATGCGCACCTCATGGTCGGTCACTCTCTGCTCATTTGAGTAACTGTTATTTCTGCCTGGCTTTTGGTCAAGCATAGTATTTCTTCATTTTGTTTTTCTTTAATGCTGATGGTAAGCAAATAGATCACAGTATATAAAATGGTCATTTCATAGGTGAAAGGCCTGGAGGACTGGAAAGGCAAACTGATTTGGTTAGGGCCTGCTGGGAGTAGCACCAAGTGTAACACCACCATTCAGGGCTGCCACTCCCTGGACAGTACTCACTAAATCACCTGATTGGAGAGTGGCTTGCAGAAGGGCCAGTATCCTGCTCTCCCTGTGATCTTTCACAAATAAGTGTTAATACTACTTTACTATAGTATTATAAGGTCTGGAATTGGAATCTCTTTGATTTATGATCTCCTGTCCCCATTTTTTTAAGTTTAGTATTGCTAAAAAAAAATGGCTTGATTTAAACCAATATGGTATGTGAAAATATGATTTTCACAATGTAAAAATTATCTTCACTTGACAAAAGAGTTGGTCAGAATGTTCTTTCAAATAATGAGCTCTCCTATTGCCTTAGAGTTTAAATATTTAGATGTTTTAAAATGTAATATCTGTCTGGGAAAATGTAATATCTGTCTGGGAACGGGGAAACACCCCATATCAACAGGGTGCCTGAATGAAACGCAATTGTATACCTAACCCTTAACTGTACCCCACAACTTCACAATAAAAAAAAAAAAAAGGAAAAAAAAAATGTGATAGAAACCCATTGTCTTTAGAAAGTTACTTACTAGCTGGGCATGGTGGCTCACACCTATAATCCCAGCACTTTGGGAGGCAACAACTGTTTTTTTTTTTGAGTTGGAGTCTCACTGTCACCAGGCTGCAGTGGTACGCTCATGGCCACTGAAGTCTCCACCTGCCGGGCTCAGGTGATTCTCCCACCAAGTAGCCTTCCAAGTAGCTGGAATCACAGGCACATGCCACCACGCCCAGCTAACTTTTTGATTTACTGTAGAGAAGAGGTCTCACCAAATTGCTCAGACTTGTCTCGAACCCATGAGCTCAGGCAATCCTCTCAACTTGGCCTCCCAAAATGCTGGGATTATAGGCGTGAGCCACTGCACCTGGCCGAAAAGTATCAATTGCTAAAGAGAAAAATTTTAGTTACATTACCTTCCCTTAAAACCATATTTAATACCTAGTTTTGGTATCTTAATAAGAATTATAGAATTTAAGCTTTCATTCCCTTTCATCAAAAGACATCTCAAGGCCACCAGTTATTTTTTTGTAGAAATGACAGAATGAATCTGTCTGTGGAGATAAAGGTATATACAAGACATACAAATACACTGTTCAATTTATAGATGCACTAAATAGTAGCAAGGCTATGAAATGCTTCAGCAGCCATTACAGCGGACACACATCCATATGCACATGTATTTACAACACAGATTAGGCAAGATAGAAAACGGGCAACTCTCACTTCCATGTGACTACAACTTAAAACTTAGCTTTTTAATTGAATATTCGTAGCTTTAATTGCTCAACATGCAGGAGCAGTCTTAACTAAGAATAGACAAGCAGAAGCATTAGAATTGTGCTAGAAAAGGTAGGTAACATCTAAGACAGAGCCTCTTTATTCATGCCTCTGTCCATCTTTTGGATGCTGTATTATTGAACTTTAGCATGCAGAAGAGTTAATGAGGTTCTACTCCTCCTACTCTACCTAAGTTTGCTCAGCTGATTCCTTGCCCTCGACAATGGCTGCAGTGCGATGAACTCGTCACTTAAAGCGACTGTGTTGGAGTACATCTATAAGTGGACAGAAAAGGAATGGGACACACAACAAGTCAGTGAGTTGTATTCATCACCTAAGAGACAGACACAGGACAAGCTTTGCAAATACATCTGTTCCTACATGAGTAAGAAATATCATACACATACATGACTGACATTTGTAGGGCTGCTGGGTTTGCCATCAAAATAATTTATTCTTCACTCTAACTCCACATTGTTATTCTGGAGAAAAACAAGGCTCAGAATAAATGCTGATAGCTCTTCTTTTGATATGATTTTCCTTGCTACTTCTGGTAAACGAAGAAGTAGCTGACTTTCTAGCTATTTCTTCATCACTGGAAATCAGAAGTGATGATATAAAGCTGAAATAATAATGACTGCCACCTGTAGCAAAGGAATAATGTTACTTATGGGATTCAAATGACCATACACCGTCAAGGAAAAAAATCCCCAAAACCAAAAAACTCAGCAGGCTAGAAGATCCCTTGGTGGAAGCAGAGATTTCCTTCTTGGATCAGACTGCCTAAAATATCTGGTTAAGTCATTTAGAATTGAGTTTAGTGAGATTGGCTTTCACACATAGATAAAATGATTAATTAAAGTATAGTCTACTTTAATCAATTTTAGCTTATGCTAAAAGAACCAAAATATATATACAAGTAGTTTTAACTTTTTATTTGTCTAAGGGCCTACCTTAAGGTACCAAAAATTTCCTACATATTCTTTTAAGAAGACGCTACAGGAAAGGTAATAAGAACTGATATTATCACCTTTTGTATCATTAAGAAATCTCTATGAAAATACATAAGCTTGAAAATGCTCTACTTAAAGCAGAATTTCTAAGAATAAATGCAAATAAATATGATTATAAGTTGAATATCTCCAACCCAAAGATCCAAAATCCAAAACTTTTTGAGTACTGACATGATGCGCAAAGGAAATGCTTACTTGGAGCATTTCAGATTTTGAATTAAGGATGTTGAATCAAAAAGTATAATGCAAATATTCCAAAATCAAAAAAAAGTCTGAAATCTGAGAGAAGCATTACAGAAAAGGGATACTCAACCTGCATTTACTTTGATAAAGAATTACGATTTTAAAATGATGCCACTCATATTATTTTGGTGAAATGTAACTGTATGGAGGCCAAGAGGGAGAGACAAATTATTCTCCACAAAGGTCTAGAAGTAGTATAACAGACAATGTATTAAAAACAGTACTCTTTTATCATAAATATTTATCTCTGAAAGTTAGAAACAGTAAGACAGGCAAATGCTTTTGACAGATAGTTAAGTAATATACTGTAGAGTTTTTTGAAAAAGACTGTCCACATTGATATTAATGTATGGACAGAGTAATAGGATTGTGTGAATTTCTTAGCCTAATGTGAAAATCAGTATCACAGCGCAACATTCTCATCCTCATTATATTTATCATGATAACTTGCTTACTGAGGAACAACTTCTTATAGACCCAGTGTTAGATGCTTCATGTTCATTATCTCTAACAACTATGTAAGGCAGTAATTATTATTCTGATTTTATAGAGGAGGAAATGAAATTGAGGTTGAGTGAACTGACTTGATCATACACTGTTGAAATAGTATCTGAACTTAAGTTTGTCAGGCTTCACAGGGCTATGTTACCTCAGTGGTGTTAAAATGTATACTGGCTAAGATTAAAGTTACCAAATCAAATAAATGCTAAAGAACTGTTGATATGACCAACATTATATGACCAACATTTAAACCAATGCACTGTTCAGGAAGCCAAATTCAAATCACAAAATATTGAGGAAGCACATTTTCAATTTGTAGAATGAATATACAACTACATTTCCAAAATTTAAATAAAAGTTGCTTGGCATGTTACCAAAAATCTCAAGCTGGGCAAAACTAAATCATTTTAGCATTTATAAACCCTGTTTACCAGGGCATAAGAGTTGATTACAATACATTCTTAAGAGTACATACCCAATAATATGGTATAGTTAAAAGAACAAATTGAGATAGATTTCTAGCTCATATACTAGTCAAATATACAAAAAAGGTACATTTAATTAAATAGTTACCATATCTTGAGCATATATTATGTGTCTGAAAATTCTTTCATTTCAATTCTGACTACAAAGCTATTTCTATCATGATTTTACCAATGAGGAAACTGAGACTCAAAGTCGCGGAGATACCAAGTAGCAGAGCTGGGATTTGAACTGAGATTCATCAGGCCCCCAAAACCATATTCCTAAGCACTATGTAATATCCTGTTAATATCTGCTGTAGCTTAATATTTATCAATAAACGTTTAGTGAGATAATGTATTTGATAAAATTCCATTCTGTAAAAATTTTTAGGTTAACTTATTTTGTAATCTTTTGTTGAAAACAATATATCCTGAAAAAATATTACTCAAATTCTAATCTTTCCTTTTTTTTTTTTGGTTGGAGTTTCACTCTGATGCCCAGGCTGGAGTGCAGTGGCATACTCATGGCCACCGCAGCCACGACCTGCCAGGTTCAGGTGATCCTTCTGCCTCAGTTTTCCAAGTAGCTGAAATACAGACGTGCAGCACCATGCCCGGCTAATTCTTTGATTTATTGAAGAGACAAGGCCTTGCCAAGTTGCCCAGATTGGTCTCAAACCCCTGGGCTCAGGCAATCCTCTCTCCCTGGCCTCCCAAAGTGCTGGGATTACAGGTATAAGCCACTGTGCTCAGCTAAATTCTAATGTTTCTAAAGACATGGCTATGTATATCCATTATATATCTGATGGAATTCAATAGTTTCCTACTTAAAAATCTTGAGGTTTATTAATAACAATGTAATTTTAAAAATTACAATTTATCAGTGGTCATGAAATTAATAGAAGTAAGAAAATTTTAAAATATCATATTTAGCAATGTTTATATTACAAAATGATTGATATAGAAATGGGTAGTTTCAAATTTTCTAACATAAGCAAATTATAATAACAGCTGTTCATCATTAAAGACCCTTAAATAAAAAGATACTGAATACAAAAAGTGGTTACCTGTGCCTTCTCAGTACTTGTAGGATAGAAGTGTCGGTCAAACACCTTCTTTACGATGTCAAGAAATAGACATGTAACAACCATGAGGATTATGGCAAACCAAGCAGAACCACTTGACAGGAGCTGAATAAACACAAAGTACATATTCTGGGAGCCCAAAAATGGCCTGCAAGGAAACATAGTTGAAACTGAAAGACTAAACCTAGGACATCATATAAACACACTACATTTAAAAGTAGCAATTAAATACTCAAGGAAGATGGTCAAAATTGAAATCAACATAATTAACTAACTAATAAAACAAGGCAAACTTTAATTGTTAATAATAAAAACACAGCTTTTATTAGTAGCAAAGTGGCAAGCAGTTGATCAGACAACCCTATCTTAGTGGTTGGGCATCAGAAGGATAATGCAGTAACACAGATTTAAGAGATGAAGAAAAGCAGGAAAATGTACATAACAAAGTATTTTTTTAATGCACAATTAAAAGAACTGATAATCCAAACCTTAGTTTGAAAGTTTTATTGAGAGGCTCTTCTTTAAATATTTTAAATACTAGTCTTACATATAATAGCTATCGTAAAGATATTCTTTTTGGATTTTTGTACATATCACTTCAAAAGAATACAGAGAAATACAGAAAGAAATGGAGAAACAGAGAGGATTATGAACAAACAGTATTCATAAGAATATTCATTTATGATCCTAAACATAAGTTAATGTTGAGCTAATTCGAGTTTTTGGCCTGATAAACAGCACAGCAGGCAAGTGTAAATACAAATTCTCCAAAAGAGAGACTTAAGTTACCCCTCATTTACCAAAGAATCTTAAGCATTCATTTTAAATCTATCATTGTAACTAGCAGAGTATGAGACTCTACCAATGAAGAGGTGCAAACTACCTTTGAGAGAGAAGTTAACTCAATGGATAAATTCCACTGGTTCTATGCAATTTATTTTATCATATATGTTAATAAATAATTTGGAGTAACACGATTAGTGTGAAGAAAACTAATTGTGAAATAAGACAAATGGGGTTCAAATCTTGGCTTTGTTATTTTTTTTTAAAACCTTTGTGACCCTGAGGTTTCTTTTTTTTTTTTTTTTTTTTGAGTCAGTCTCATTCTGTCGCCCGGGCTGGAGTGCAGTGGCATGCACATGGCCACTGCAGCCTCGACCTGCTGGCCTTAGGCAATACTTCTGCCTCAGCCTTCCAAGTAGCTGGAACCACAGGTATGCGCTACCACACCTGGCTGATTTTTTGATTTATTAGAGATGAGGTCTTGCCATGTTGCTCAGGCTGGTCTTGAACCCCTGAGATAGGCAATCCTCTTGGCCTCTACATCCCAAAGTGCTGGGATTACAGGCATGAGCCACCATGTCCAGCTGAGGCTCAGTTTTTAAACAGAAAAAAATGAGAATAATTATTGTGATGAATCAATGTAATATCTTATATAAAAAATGTGGAACGCAGTATGTATTCAGTACATGTCAGTTTCTTTTTCTCTCCTTATCAGTTAAGATCAACTGAATGAAGTGAATTTATTATCGGGACAGGGTCTCAAAGCTATTCTGAGCAGACTCTGTGCATAATATAACCTATGACAATAGATATATATTATAGTTGAATCAATACAATTAAAATACAATATAGTCACTCACCAGAGAATCCCTCCATAAAACAAAGAAAATACAAAATAAAATATAATAGATCCCCAGGTAACAAGATGGTTGATCCAAGTCCAAAAATGAGTTTCCAAAGCCATCTAAAAAAAATAAAATATTTAGAAACATAAATAGCTTTACTTTAACCTGTCAGATAAAGCTCAAGAATAAGCATATTAACTATAAGTATCTAAAAGTCACATGGCATAATCCATCAAAAGATAAATATTAATGAAAGGGCCCTTGTATGAAATGAAATAATTTCAAGCTTAAGATAGTTTTCTACTGTAAAGCAGCAGCATTGAAATTTCATTTGATTACTCTATTCTCAACTCTGTGGCCTAAAACAAATTGTATAGTCTTGCACTATACAGAAAGAAGCACAATTTCAGAGCTTTTTATTAGACCATAAAAAACAGCTGAGGCTTCCCAAATTAAGGAACTTTAAAAAATAATTTTTTGACAAAAATTTAAGTGAATTATTAAAATAGCAATTAGTGAAATTACTCACTACTGAAAATGGAACAGGGAAAACTACCTATAGCTAAAGAAATGAAGAGAATTAACTACTAATTATGTGGACAGACACAAAATGTGTTCATGTTTCTAATTTTAGTACCATACCTTTACTGTAACTGTAATAACCATGACTGTGAAGACCAAAGTGCCAAATGTCCAGTTTCCAAACATCTAAACAAAAAGAACCAACTATTATATATGTGTTAACATGATGTTAAATCAAATATAAAATAAAAAAAGTAATTTCATTCTTTACTATATATCACTTAAATTATTTAAGTAAATTACATTTAAAACTGGTGACTGTGTTAATAAAGTTAAGAGTATGAAAATAAAAAGCATAAAGCATTATTATGTACATAAATATTATGCACAATAATCCCTTGCATAACATTATCAGACTAGAAATCCAAAGATGGGTTTAGAATTGTGTAGCAATTATGTAGTTGTTAGTAACTGCTTTATTCCTATCACACAGTAAAAAATAATAAACAGAACTCTGTTTAATCATAATTATTTTCTGAAATATTTCCAACCAGAAGTTACAGCAGATCACCTGCCACAATATTTCTGGACACAGCCTAAGTAGAGCAGAAAAAAAAAATTTATACTTAGAACCGGTATCTAGAAGGAAAGATAATGGACAATGGAATTTCTTCTTAAATAATTCCATTAAAAAAGGCAGTTACTGCCAGTCATAAAGTGCTCCCCTGGGCTTTACAACCTAAACTTAGTAAGGTTTATTAAGCATGAAGAATCCCAAATGATCACCAGGATTTTATTTCCATAAATAAGAACACATCCAGAAGGTTATGTTAACTGAGTTTCACAAGGTTCTCATAATCTTAACATCGGCTTAAAAAATTAGTTAAAAGGCTTTGTTTTCCATATTACACATTCCTAACAATTAGCATTTACTTAACAAATTACTTAACATCTCTGTCTCTCTTTATTTGTAAAATGAGGACAACCCCCCTAAGTTTCTATAAGAATTAGGGTATATAAAACAGTGTACCTGGTATATATACAAGGGGGGACCCAAAAAACCTCCCTAGAATTTATTGATAAAAAAATTATGTATTTTAGTCTTACATGTTTCAACTTCAGTCACCTTCAAAATACTCTCCATTTGATGTAATGTACCTATTGAGACACTTTTCACACTGCTCAAAACAGGTTTTGAACTCAGCAGTTTTGATGCCTTTTTTTGTTTCACCTCTTCTACATCAGCAAAATGTTTCCCTTTGAGAATTTTTTTCATTCAGGGAAACAAACAAACAAACAAACAAAATGTCACTCAGGGTGAGATCGTGTGAATAGGGATGGTGGGGGCATGGGGGTCATGACTTTTTTGGTCAAAAACTGCTGAACACTCAGCATGGTGTGGGAAGGTGCACTGTCATGGTGAAAGAACCAGTCACCTGTCGGCCTTAACTTGGGGCATTTCTCTCACAAATTGTGATGCAACCTTCTCAAAACTTCCAGATAAAAACTTTGGTTGACTAATTGATCCGGGAGAACAAATTCTGAGTATGCTACAAGGGGTCCACCCTCCAAAAAAAGATAATTCTGTTTTTTTGGGGGTTCCTCCTCATATAATAAGCAATCAGTAAATAACAGTTATCATTGTAAATAATGAAACATCAATGAACATTCTTTATTTGGGGTTATTGGGGGAAATTTTTTTTTTTTTTGAGTTGGAGTCTCACTTAGTCGCCCAGACTGGAGTGCAGTGGCCGCTCCCGGCCACCGCAGCCTCGACCTGCTGGGCTCCGGCGGTCCTTCCGCCTCAGCCTTCCAAGTAGCCGGAATTACAGGCATGCGCTACCACGCCCGGCTGATTTTTTGATTTATTGTAGAGATGAGGTCTCGCTGCCCAAGGGGGGGTCTCGAACCCGTGGGCTCAGGCAATCCACTCACCTCAGCCTCCCAAAGGCACGGGATTACAGGCTGAGCCACCGAGCCCGGCTTATTGGGGGAATTTATTTGACAAAAATGAAAATGTCATACTGAACCTGCTTACTTTTCTCCTTTTACCACCTCTTCATAATGAAAATCAGTCTCAACTTAGCTCATGAAGGAGTGTCAAGCTCCTCTTCCAGAGATATGGGGACTGATGCTGCAATGCGATCAGGGGACCCAGGCTGGAAGTAGTAACTAAGGCACGTGCCTATCTTTCAGTATCTGCTTTTACTGGCCTAGACTGGGATGTGTTACCTGCCATTTTCCTTAGCATGGAGGATTTAGGGCTTCTTTGTGCACAGCACCCCCACCCCCCTAAAGGAGCTGTACAAAAGCACTCACATGGCTTTTTGGGGGGCAAAACTATAAAAAGTAACGCATTTCAACTGTAATCAATAAATTAAGACTGCTGTCTTCTTCCATTCTTACATCCCCTTGAGCTGGTTGGCAATGAGTGAGTGGCAGAGGGCATTCTGGAGATCTCACTAAAGAGAAGTGAATTAAACTTTGGTTTGGTTTGGATTAAGTGGGACATACTTATGTCAGTCATAATCACTTTCATATATACTTACCTTTGTATTTATAATTGTATGCTTTTTTCCCCCCTTAATGTGGGCCTGCTATAATGTTTAGACTCTACTGAACCTGGATCTGCTGTCCCTGCTCAGAAGAGACAGATGCTCAAAATACTCTCTATACCAATCTCTGCTTTCTAGATAACCTTTTAGACAGAAAGGATGAGTGTACGCAGTGTACAGGTGAAGAACTGATGGCCTAGAACTGAGTCCCAGGCCACTGCTCCATTGAGAGCAGTGGGTCTTAAATGGAGGTGATTTTTGCCTCCCTGAAGTCATCTGGGTTTGTCTGGGACATTTTTGGTTGTCCTAACCAGGGGAGTATATGTGTGTGCGTGCTAATAGGGGCTAGGGATGCTGCTACACGTCCTACAATTCATAGAATGAGTTCCCACCACAAAAAACTATCCAGCTCAAGATGCCAATATGCAGAGGTTGAGAAACCTTGATTCAGAGGGTGGGACAAAGAGAAGACTGAAAAGGAGTAGTCAAAAACACCAGGAAGACAAAGGAAGCGACAGAATCTGAGAGAAGACAACTTGGCAGGAAGGAGGGCTTCGTAAATTGTGCCCAGTGGTCAAGGACATAATGTCTGACAAATGCTCTTGAAGTGATTGTGGTCATAAAGAACATGGTTTTGATAAGAGAGCTGGGGGCAAAAACCCCTCTGGAATGCATTCAAGGGAGAACAGGAGGCCAGGAAGCAGACAGTGAGAAAAGATCACTTCTTCAAGTTTTGCTCTATAGATACACAGAAAAATGTAGTCAGAGTAGGAAGCTGTGCTTTTTATTAGAAGACAGGAGATCCCAGAGCATGCTTATATGATGATAGGCTTGATCCAAAGAGGATGAAAAATTGATGGTGAAGGAACGAGACAGGATAACTGCAGGAGCAAAGTCCTGGTTTAAGCAAGAAAGGGCTTAGGAATAAACAAAAGACGAAAAGGTTTTCTTTATCAGGCTTAACTTGATAATACTTCTATCTATCTGTACAAGATTATCTTCCCTACAGTTAATCAGTTGCTCAATTCTCCAGTATAAACTATCAGTTAACCATAGACTGATTATACCATAAAACTGATTGTTGGGTGATACTGTAAGAAGCAAGGTATACTTTTCTGTTCTCCTCTAAGGTATAGCAATATCTACTCTCTATTAAGTACCCAGAATATTGTTAGTGCTTTAAATATCTGTTTCATGAACAGATGAGCATATAGAAAAATTTTATAATAAACAAGATATTTTCACCATAAAACATTTTATTTAAAAAATCTAGATTTACCTATAGGAATGAAATTGTATAAGTGTTCTTAAATGACCTGATTGGTAATTGCAATATTTAAATCATTTCAATTGAAATAAAAGATACAGCATTCTCTGTGGAATACAGATAAAATACAGTGTATTTCTAGTCTTACCATTTGATGGTTAGGTTTCAATAGCTGATGACATGTATTGCATGAAAGAGAAATTATTTAAGAATAGGAAATACAGGGACAAAGTGTTAAAAATTAAAAAAAAATAGGGGAAAATATTACAAGAAAGGTTTATTTTTCTTTTTCTTAAAATTACAACCTGAAATTTCATCTCCTTGGTTTACCTTGGATTATTAATTACTTATCCCTAACTATTCTGATAAATGGTCCATACCAACAAGGCTTAATGATGGGGTGAAAAATTGCTTTTTCTTCTCAAATCCTTTCTTTCTCATTCAATGTTTAATATGGTGGCATAGTGTATAATATATATATATATGCATTTTAGAATGGTGCCGAGGTTCTAACAATTTAAAATCTCTACTGGACAAGTCTAACGAGAATTTAAATATTTCAACAGCTTTCTACTTTTTCTCCCAATCCTATGTATTTTGGACTTTAATTATTTTAATTTTTAAAACTGAGTACAGTTCTACAAAGAGGAAAAAAAACATTAATGGTAGATATCTTCCTTTGCATTCCTGGACACTTCAGGAAAACAAACAAAAGAAACCCCTTATTTGGGCAGGATCCCATTTTATTTTATTTTTTTCAGTCAAAGTCTTATTACTCTGTTGCCCAGGCTGGAGTGCAGTGACCCAATTATGGCTACCACAGCCTCGACCTCCCAGGCTAAGACGATTCTTCTACTTCAGCCCTTCAAGCAGAGGGAGCTATAGGCATGTGCTGCTATGCCTAGCTAACATTTCTGATTCATTGTTGAGAAGAGGTTGTGCAGGCTGGTCTCGAACTTTTGGGCTCAGGCAATCCTCTTGCCTTGGCCTCCCCAAGAGCTGGGATTACAGGGATGGGCAACCCATTTTAAAGATTAGTTAGCTAGTTTGTAATTTTCATATCAGATCACTGGGAATAAGTGGAATAATAATAATAGTGTTTGGGAGCCCAAATTAACAAAGAATTTTAAATATCTTTATCTTCTGAAGCCTTTAGTTGAAACCACCAGAGAAACACTGTCATAAGATACTAAGATGGGAACTCAACTACCTCTGGAACTATTCTGGTATTTTCCTCCCTGCATCATCTTAGTTTTCCAATCTCACCATATGACAATTCCCTCCTTCCTGTTTCTGTCATTGTAATTTTTACTCATCTAATATACGCTTCTCTGGCAGCCAGGATGCCTTTTGCTTGCATTCTG